TTTCGGCGGGGCGGCCGGCCCGCCCCAGCCGATGGGTTGCGTGCTACCAGCCCGCTGCAAACAAAGTAAAGCACATCGGCTTGTGTAGCCACGAAGGATCTTCAAACTACTGTGTTTTACCTCAGAATGGGAGCAAGCCAGGAGTGTACACATCAGCTCCCGGGGCTCCACAGATGAGCTGCGTTTCAGTAAGCTCCCCTGCAGTGGCTCAGTTGTTTGTATTCATGCATCCGTACCATTAGCAAAGTTAAAGCCTTGTTTTTACCTCTTCCACACCGTGTTCAAACACACCAGAGTATGCACATTAAGTAAGCGCTTATTTTACTTCTCAATAGTTTTATTTTTAAAAGAAATAACTACTTTAAGCTAGTATATATTGGAACAGTCTAATCGCTCACTTGGGTTCGCTACTGCAGTCCATCGGGACATGGGGTTTCAACACTAAGTGAAGAATCACTTCCCACCCTTTATTCTGCTTCGCAGAATGAAAGTAGAAGCTATGGTGATCTATAAGAGAAAAATGCCAAATATAAAAGGTGTTAAACAGCTGGGCACTGGAACTTTACTTCTGCTACCAAAAAATATTTGTATTGTAATCAGAGCACAGCAATGCTAAGCTAGATCTAAGGGATTTTAAAAAGTCTAGGCTGAACAAGTGAGCCAGAGCCCACGTGTATATACCGAGATGAAAAGGATTCACTGCTTCCGACAGTGCACTGCTTAAGGAAGAGCAGGAGGAGAAGCCAAACGTGACTGTGAGAACATCCAAGTGATGAAAGCACTGGTGGGTCGCATTTAGCTATGTTTCATTATATCATCTTACACAGTCTCCTTCTGCGGTCCTACAACAGCGCTGAGGGTCGCAGTCTGCCCTGGACCCTTTCTGACAACACAGAGAATCTAACGATTGCTAGCGAGTATCTGTATATCTGTTGCAAAAAAAATATAGTCAATTATTAGCAGAGAAAATTTGTAACGTGCCATCAGTGATCAGTCCCACATTGCTGGTGTCCCGAAGACAAGAAACCAACCTCCTTTTTGAAGTGTAATGAGCCATGCGGCAGATGAACTGAAGACTAATCCTTCAAAGGAGTACCAAATACCAAGCACTTTCAGTACCTCCAGGTGGAGGAAGAAAACTTTGATGGCCTTAGTTTGGAAGAGAAGTGCTCAATAAATAAGGAGACTTGTTAGAAAAGAGTAAAACTAAACACTAGGCACACCATCTCACAGGCTCAAACAGGCATGGCTAGTTGTAGTTTCTGTAGCTTAGGCAAGATTGTGAGGATCTCACTGTCGGCAGCGGAGACTTGAGCAGCACGTGCTGGGAATGAACGCTTCCTTCCCCAGGCAGCGCGGGGAAAATGAAAACATTATAAAAGGAGACCCCAAGAGAATAGGGTTTTGCTTGTTTTGTTAGGGGACTGTTTTCCCTAAGGAAGAATGACCTCCACAGATTATAGTGAAACAAGTCATTATGAGAAGTAAGAATTTGTTCCAGCTGGTCTTGGTACTAATCTCTTCCTCGACTCTTTAAAGGAGAGAACCCCCAGCAAACAGTGCCACGTCTCAGAGATGAGGAGGTTGACAGAGACTTCAGAACATACCAGGAGACTGCCGGTGTGTAGCCAAGCTTTACCCTCTCCGTACAGCGGTCACTCTTCCAGGCCTGCACCCACGTGCCAGACGTTTTCCTTCCTACCCAGTACAGCCGTCTTTGCTGACCGCTGCAATACTTCCAGTGCCGTTCCCGGCAGCAACAGCTTTCTTAGCAAGAAACTCACTGAGCAGAATTAGCCTGGATGCTACTACTTTTCCTGCTCTGGGTTATAACTACTACCCCAAGGAAGATTCCAGCTGGGGCACCATACCCAATATAGGTAACAACGCAGCTTTCAACGGGAAGAGCTACAAGGGCCTCCAAGTGCTCCGGTGTGCCTGCAAGCCCATACTGAAACCCCCGTCCCCAAAGCTCTGCAGAGGTGGCACCAGACAGCCAAACTGGCGCTACTGAGGCAAGTCTGCTCAGGTTCAAGCTCTCTCCTGCCAGCAGGTAGGTATTAACACAGTGCAGCTCCACCAAAAGCAAAGCATACCAACAGGCACTAGTAGGACTCAAGGAAAAATACAGGGAAAGACACTAATTAGCCCACTAGCACAGAGGTTCGGTGCTGTCCCTTACTGGTATTCAGGCAACAGTCCTGCAGAACATACCCTTGCTGCAAGCTGAACAATCACTGTATTACACTGCTGCAAACCTAAAGTTTCAAAATGCTTAAAAGACATCGAGTTAAAAACCAAACTCCAGCAAATATCATTCCTCCTTCATACTCATGAGTCCTTCCAAGTGGAGCAGAGATTCCAGAAAGCGGTCTAAAGAGTAAGGGCCTTATATCCTCAGTCAGCCCACATTTAACCTCATGAAATACGCGCACCAAAATACACACCACATCTTACTAGAAAAAAAGGCAAGCAACAGCCTTGTTACAAGGCAGTTCCTCAGATGCAAAGGACTGACATACTGAGATGGCAAACAGGCAGGTTTTTCAAGTACCCCAAGAAAGAACTCCACGGGACCTGAAAGCATTTTTGACCCCTCTGCTTGCAAGTGCACCTCCAGTAAACGACAGGGAACGTGCTGCTCTTTTCTGCCCGTCTCCAGGGGCTGCTGCCGGCTGGCTCCTGGCGTGCCGTCTGTGTTCAGCCATGACTCGTAGCTGCTGAAATACCCTGCCCTGGGGATGATCCGCCAGGTCATCCTTCTTCCCAGATGTTGCGGTAAATATTTTGAGATTTTTTTTGTTGTTCGGCTTCAAATACTCAGCAGAGAAGAAAGCACATACTTCATTTCGTCAGGAAAGAGGGAGGGCAGAGAATGCATGCCCAACAGTGGCAGGGAGAAAGGGCTTTTTTCCTTAGGGCACCTGGCCCAGGGCCTCAGTGGATTTTGCTCTAGAAACCCAGGAAGAGAATGACAGCAATTAGAAATTTGTTGAAAGGTCAGGGCTTCTGTATCACAAGCTAAAAATACAGATCACTTAACCCGCCCTTGTAACTGCAGGAATCCAAGACCACAAAAACCGTGTACCAACTAGTCTCCACTGGGCTCAAAGAGCTCTGCGCAGCATCACAGAAACCCGAACTGGAAACAGCTACATACATCACACAGATGACGGCCCTGCAACGATGACAGCACATCCCATTAAGGGTCCAGAATGACGGGGTCCCCACACAGCAGGCTGCAGGAGCTTCTTAATGGCTTCTCCAAGGTGAAGAACAATTTTCACCTGACCCAGAATTCATACTGACCTTTCAAATGGAAGAAGCCACAAAAGCTACTTGATAGAGGAGCTCTCATGGCAACTAGACACTTTGCAGATACTCTTGAATCCCAAGTGATCCTGCTCCTACAGAGCACTGCAGAAACAGCTGTCTAGTAGGGACAGCCTCCAAATGTAGAAGGGCAAAACTGCTGAATGTAAATAGACTGCAACAGCCTGCTGAATTATTCCTAAAATCCAGCAGTGTTCCAGCTCCCAGTCAACAAAAAAGCAGCAAAATTAAAAAGGAAAAGAAGTCTGGACAGTAGCTACAACATTGCTTGTCCTGCTCCCTGCTGAGGATGGCACCTTTACACCAAAAGGTCTGAGAACGGCAAAGGAAGGAATTCCATGTTTCTGGCTCACCTCAGGAGACAAAGTTTCCCAAACAGTTCATAAAGTCCAGCAACACCTCTGAAAG